TTTACATATTGTGACGGCAGAGAAAGGGAAAGCGACAGAAATGTCATATTCAGATGTTCGTTCATTGGTTCATTTTTGCCAGGGTTTCGTATTGTGGAACAGAGAACGTGCTTTTATGTTTGACTATGATACAAAAGAGAAAGAACACCAAAACACTCGGCAATCTGATTAATACTCGGGGGCTACGCCCCCTCGTACAGATCAGATAGCCTCGTGTTTCGGTGCTCTTTCTATTACTTATTTTTGCTGGGGTTTACATATTAATTGTGGCGGCAGAGAAAAGGAAATCGACAGAAATATAATATTCAGATGCTCGTTCATTGATTACTTTTTTCTGGGGTTTCATATTGTGACAACAGGGAATGTGTTTTCATGTCTGACTATGATACAAAAGAGAAAAAAACATCAAAACACTCGGCAATCTGCTTTATACTCGGGGCTACGCCTCCTTGTACAAATCAGATATCCTCCTGTTTCTATGCTCTTTCTATTACTTATTGACACTATTAAGTATTTAGAAAATAGATAATTAAAAGCAAACTGAGACAGAAAAGCAACGACTTCAAAATGTAATTACATTTTCTAGATTATTACTTGGAAGCTTCAAAAAGAAAAACGGCGTTTCGTTTACGGTCACACAAACAACACACCAGTTCAAAGCTTTTTGTTAATTAAATACAACTGCGAATGGAATGAACACAAATATGAACAGCAAAAGATAATAGAAGATCAAAGCTTATTGTATGTATACTTAAACATGTCTTTTGTTAAAAAAGATAATTTTCAATTTCAGCATGATAATTAATGAGTTTTTTATCTAGGTTCAATGGTTCATGCGCTACATACACGTTTTTTTTGCCTAAGTTTTTGTTAAATTGCACAGCTAGTTCTTTTTAACAATTCTTCCTCCCACAAAACATTTTACACTGCATTCAAATCTCATTACATTTTCGAGAGACTCACCGCTGTGGGTTCGAATCCCGACAGGTACTTTGGATTCTTTCATGTGAGGAAGCTATCCAGCTAGCTTACGGAACGTCGGTGGTTCTACTCAGGTGCCCGTTCGTGCCTGAAATAATGCACGGAAGGGCACCTGAGGTCTTCCACCACCAGTAAAGCTGGAACGTCGCGATATGACCTATACTGTGTCGATGTGACGTAAAACCCAAAACAAACAAAATAAATTTTCAACTGAACAGTTTATTTTATGTAAGAACGTACTGAGTTTATTTTACACAAGTTCTTAGTTTTAAATTTTGTCCAAAATAACGAGAATAATATCAGATGTTATCAGGTACCCTTAGTTTATGATGTTCCATAAGTGTCTAATATATTATTGATGTGCTCAATTGATATAATATCTATAACTTTCATATATATTTTTGTATATTAATCAAGTATTTATATAAAATGGTTGCCTACCGACTGCGTAGATGTTGGTGTTCGAAATTGAGTTTACTTACTACCGAAGTTTAGAAACACATACATAAAGTGTTGCATATTTCAAGATTTCAACAACAAATACAAAATAAAGCCATGGTTGCCATGTCAAAAACCTCAGTGGAGTCCCTTTAATGTTACATAAAAATAGGAAATTATTTGAGCCGCGTCACGACAAAACCAACATAGTGGGTTTGCGACCAGCATGGATCCAGACCAGCCTGCGCAATATTATCTAAAACTCATAAGTTATGCAGATATTTTGTGCTGTTGATGCATCAGCCAGTCATAAAATCCCTAAAACCTACAGTGCATTGCGGGGAAAACTAACCATGTTTTTATTTTATCCATAGGCCTTTATGCTGACGATATATGAACGATCATGTATCTGATCATGATTTGAATGTAGTAGAAAGTCTTCAGCAGAATTTGGATGATATAGATCGATCGTGTAATTTTGTCTTTTCGCGTCTTATCTGTGATATGCAGGTTTCATAACCTCTGATCCCCTCAAAACCTCATTGTGTTTAGTTCCGCCCATTGTGCACACGCTTTCATTTACTTAGGGACCATACGCCGCTTTTCATGAAATGGCACGGAAGTGTCGTATGAACACATTTGCAGATGTTTTTGGATTCAAAGTTTTGCCGTTTTATGTTTTAATGTTGAATTTTGTTTAAGACGGTGCCAGGGGGCATGGACTGTGGTTTGCACTTGACAGTACCGTCCATGAAAAGGCTCGATTAGACCGAGCCTGCAACATTTTCAATTTTGGACTTTCTTTAGGGATTCTTATTTTCTCTATGTTAAACAATACATGTATGTTAAACCATCCAAATAAAATAAAATAAAAAAGTTATTATTTCAATTAACTTACTTTATGTATTGCAAAACAAAAAATAGAAATGTAAAAATACAAAAATTATTAGGTGTCTATATTGATAAGAACTTGTCATGGAATAATCAAATTGAAGCACTTTGTCCAAAACTTAACTCAAAAATATATAGTATTAATGAGGCGAATATCTGACAGATGAAATAAAACAATTATTTTATAATGCATACATAATGTCGAATTTTGATTATTGCTGTACTGTTTGGAGCAAAGGAAATTTAAAGTCTTTAGATAAAATAGGTAAAATACAAATAAGAGCTGCAATGATTATTTAAAACAAAACATCAGGGATTTAAGAAATCAAGATATACTGCAAGAACTTTGGTGGATATCGTCCAATGAACGATGTAATTTTCATACTGGAATTCTTATTTATAACGCTTGTAATAACCTAGACCCATCTTATATATTTGAAATTTTGACTTTTTCCAGCGTTAAGATCAGCACCACATAATGACATAGTTATACCTAAGCATCGCACAAACTATGGTAAAAAGACTTTTTGCTACAATGGTGCAAAGTTTTGTAATAGAATACCATCTAATATACGTTCTTCTAATTCTCTGACATCTTTTAAAAAAAGTATAAACAATATATCTTGCAGATCAAATAAATATCTTCAAAACTCTGTCATTACATATATAATATTTATTATGCATGTATATTTGTTAAAATATTTGTAAATGAAAATTGTATAAATGATATTTAATACCTAAAAGGAGCGTTTGTCAAAAAAGATATTGGACAAAACCTTAATGAAAAACAAAGTAGTTGTTATTATGATGTTTTGTGTTTGTGTTTCTATATATTGTCTGGGATATTGTTATAACATTTAGATTAGAGGTGTCACGGTTAGCAAAACGGCGACTTAATAACCGCATGAACCGTGTAAAAGGTTTAAACGACCGTATCGAAAGAATTTTAAGATTTTTAAATAATGATAAGATAGCACATTTTGCTTCTATTTTGTTATACTTGACAACAATTACAAAACATATCTGATTACGAAGTACCAATGTCTGTTAGGACTGTACTTCACAAGATAATATAGCGTGCAATTATTGGAGAAAAAATTCAACTAAACTACATAAAAATGTCATATCTTATCATAAATAAACAAAAGTAATGTTAAAACATAATTTAAAACATCTTTGCATTCTAACCTCTTTTCCTATTATTTAACCGGTTTTGGGCTAAAACCTAACACGGATTTATAAACGTGACGCTCCGATATGTTCATAGAAAACAAATAACGTATCTTAATTTAAAATAGGAGTGTGTCGATTATATACATTTGTATCTTCATGTGTTACCTTCTTTAAATAAAAATATTATTATTATTATTATTATTATTATTATTATTATTATTATTATTATTATTATTATTATATTCCTCGCTTTAATGGAATTGCATGAAAGTGTGACATTGAAGGCCGTATGAACACTTCTAAATTAAAAAAAACAACATTTTCATATTTAAATGTTGAAATCTGATTAAGCCGGTGCTGGGGGGGGGGGGGCATGGTTACTACTATCACAATCCGAGCCTGCTTTGTCGTTTTCTACGTTCTATAGGGATTGCGTTTTCCCCTATTTTATGTAGGGAGGTATTTACTCTTTTTTACTTATACTGAATAACGTTACTATTTCATATTTTCGTACCATCTTAGATATAGTTGGTACACAGTACAAGCTCGTAATGTTATTATAGTTAAAGTTAAATGAGATTTTAACTTTTTATAGAAACGGAAACTTTCCGTTTCTATAAAAAGTTAAAATCTCATTTAAGTATAGGGGAGCTGCATGGTCAATAGTTTTGAATGCTATATAATATTCACATCTGGTGAATTAATTAAACCTTCTTTTATTTTGATAATAGTTTTGCAATTCGAATTTTTAATATGTATATTTTTTTAAAGAAAAATCTTCTTTTTCTTATTTTCTCACTATGGTACATACTCATGTAACAAAAATTGTTTAAAAAAAGCAATGAATCTATTTGATAATGATACAAAATAGCAACCATTATTGAGAAATTTTAGAAGCAACAAATGAGCCGCGTCACGACAAAACCAACATAATGGGTTTGCGACCAGCATGGATCAAGACCAGCCTGCGCATCCGCGCAGTCTGATCAGGATCCATGCTGGTCGCTTATAAACCCTATTACAAGTAGAGAAACTGATAGCGAACAGCATGGATCCTGATCAGACTGCGCGGATGCGCAGGCTGGTCTGGATCCATGCTGGTCGCAAACGCATTACGTTGGTTTTGTCGTGACGCGGCTCAAATTATATTGCAAAATTGAACTGCGCCTGACCTGACTCATGTGACTGATGTACAAAATATAATGGTAATGAAATAATGTATTTCAAAATAGTTTGTTTCAGCTGCTGGCCAGGCCTATCAAAAGCATTTTTTCTCTCGAAAACATGTATCTATTTCGAAACTCAAACGGTCTTTATAATAATTAATATACAATGTATAGCCTACATCGATTTGATATATCATAAACTAGATCTATTGTGTTTCGAAATATTCGTAAAGTTTGAGTAATCCAGAAATTATCAGTAACTAAAATATATATATATATATCATACATCTTTTTGAATTCGCATCATTTAGTAGTGAAAACATATAAAGCATACTGTAAACGCGATATTGAATAGAGCGGACACTTCCTTAACCTTTTACTTCACTCGGCCTGTTGAACTCAGCCTGTTGAATAAATAATAGCGTCGCGGGCATGCGTCGTGACCTAAGATAAAAAGAAAACTGTTGATTTTTAACATATTATCAACAAAATAGGAGTGCATTACTAAAATACTAAGAATGAGTGAAAAACAAGGTAAGTGCAAACATTTTATAGTGGTATAATATGTAACAACGTGTTTACACGGTTCCAAAACATTTTCTAATTATATGAAGAAAATCGCCATTTTTTCTTGAAGTACAGATATATAAAACTTGCACGGCCAATTAATGTTTTTATTACAGGGGCTGTTAAAATATGTCTGCTACTTAGAAGCAAATGTTCCAGCAGAATTCGTTTTCTTCCTATGATCAAATGACACCGTATGTTAATATATTTTCACACCTGCAAAGAAAGCGTTAGGCCTATAATAGTGGAGGCCTAATTGTCTAACTCTTAACCTGTTAACGGCTTAAAGCAGGTGCGTAGCTGGTATCAAAATTATACGTGTGCTCACTGTTGTCGAAGTGTTGATGCTACGGCTGGTCAAAATACACGATCGGGCTTATGATTGTTTTGGGTAAACTGTTACATTGTTTTGGGTAGTTTTTTTTTGTGGAAAAATTAAGTACAAAGATATTTATTTCAAACTTTGGTCCAAATAATTTTAGGCATGGTATTTTTTTATTTAAATAATTAGATCCTTTTTCATCACAGTTATAATTTTTTAAGCCCATAAAATTATGTATTGATGCATGCATATTACCACAGATTTATATTACATTGAATATAAATCTGTGATATTACATGAAATCAAATGACTTAATTACCTAATTGTTAATATGCACGAAATAATTGCACTGTGCTACACTTGTCAGTATTTTCACATGTAGATCTACTGTACTAAAATATTTATTTTAAAATAATTGGCATTCCAGTGAAACAATAAAGTTTTTGGCATGGAACAAGAAAAAGAAAGAGCTCTTGAATCCATTTTTGTTTTTCAACCTTTACATTACAATTGACTTCAAATATTACATGTATATGTGTCTTGAAAATGGAAATCATTTTAAGACAATTGATGTCAATCAAAATATTTTTAATTTGTATTATATAATACAGGTGAAGTAATTCTTAACATATACAGTACTGTTCAGCAAGTGTGAAATAGATCAATAAAGCAAGCTCAATTTTTGTTCAAGAGACATTGTGTTCGTTTATGTTGTAAGCTCAATCAGGCATTTTCACCACCAATTTCAAGGTTTTCATTTGAACTTTTTTCGATTGAAATGCATTTTCTGAAATGTAAATAAAATTGCAATGGAAAACTGAAAAATTACATATTACAGTATTATCTCTCTATGTTTTACCCTTGGGCTTTATAAACCTGCCAATGTGAAATAATTATTTATGTGTATATGTTAAATTATTTATGTGCAGTGTGAATGTTTTATAAACATTTGCATAAATAAACACAGGAAAGTAATGCAGTCATTTAATTAATGAATTACACAAGGGATGTCATTTATTGTCCTAAATTGTTCACATATTACAGTATATCTCTCTATGTTTTACCCTTGGGTTTTATAAACCTGCATGACTTTTAGGATGCTTAATAATAATTATTTACTGTATATGTTAAATTATTTATGTGCAGTGTGAATGTTTTATAAACATTTGCATAAATAAACACAGGAAAATAATGCAGTCATTTAATTAATGAATTACACAAGGGATGTCATTTATTAATATTGTTGTTTGAAAATGATCCTAAATTGTTCATCAGCCAGGCCAGGGAAAACTGTTACTGACTGGCTATATTAGTCAATGTCTGGCAACCTTGAAGGGAAAAATGATAACAAAATTATTTTAGGCATGAAATATCATACACTATTAGATAGCTTCAGATCTGGAATAATTGTAAACATTTCCCCCTGTTTGTGAAGTACAAGCAGAGGCTTACAAAATGATTGTAGTTGTCATGGTAATAACTAATACCTACTGCAGTTAACTCTGATACAAATATGTCAAGATTAAAAAAGTATGAATTTTGTACTTTTTAAGATTAGGAAAAAAAAAGAGTTAGGTTGAAACAATAAACTTAAAAAGTCTTACTAGAAAAGTAAAATGTAATGTTATATGTTATAATATTTAATATATTAATTGATGATTAAAATTACTTTGATGCTAAAAATGCATTTTAAGCTCAACCATTTCAAAACAAGTCAAGCTAACATGATGGATGCGTTGTTAATTGTTGTGTGGCCCTTCACCTTTGACCTTATAATGACAGAATCAATGGAGGTCTGTTGTTTCACCTGCTAGAACTGAAAAAATAGCCTTGGCAACCAGTTTAGAGCCAGGGCAGCCTGCACATCCATTCATATATTAATACTGAACTTTGCTAAATTTCATTACCAGTCTATTGACTAAAATAATAAAACAGCTGTGCCTGTTCCTATGAGCAACTGATGTTCTATATAGGTCAGGTAGTGTCAAGGACATACAAATAATATAATTATGTCAAGTCAGATGTTACTTTAAATTTGCAGTATACACTGTATATTGTTTTATTTAAAAAAGATTATCTGTAATGTTTTGATGACCAAAAGTTGTTGATGCTCCTGTAACCATGACTCCCTTTGTTAGTGAAAAGTCAAGGTTACAAATGTAGTTATAAGATAGTATAAACTGATGTTTTTCACTTGCCAACTTAGTCAGTATCACTATTTTTTTCCTTTTTTTGCTTTTTACCCATAACAAAAGTCTAATGCTACCTAAATCCACTATTGTTAACTCACAGGAAGTGATATTTTCAATGAAAATGTAGCAATAAGAGGATGATATGTGATTTCACTTCAAAATCTGGAATGCAAGGTTAGGGGTTTTTGCTTATACTGCTTAAAATGATTTTAAAAGCTTTCTTTTTTTTAAAGGTTTGAACCAGGGACCACCATCCTATGAGCATGCACAGGGAGGATATCCAGGCGGATACCAGCCAGTTCAACAGTCAGAAAAAACACCCTATGGACAACCAGGACAGCCTCCCTATGGACAACCAGGACAACCGCCCTATGGTCAACCAGGACAACCTCCTTATGGTCAACCAGGACAACCACCCTATGGTCAGCCAGGACAACCACCCTATGGTCAACCAGGACAACCACCCTATGGTCAACCTCCTTATGGTCAACCAGGACAACCTTATGCTACACAACAAATTGTAAGTTTTACATTTTCAGCTTTACAATTTATAATAGTTATGTTATCATTTTTTGTCAGTAAAACATATTTTTTTCCTTGTATAATCTACTGTGTTAGTAACACAGTGACCAATATGAATGGAAAAGATCATTTATTCCTCAAAGTCATATGTGACAAAAGTGATGGGAAATAATCCCGGTTATACGGGATCTGGTATGCCTGGGATCATATTTCAAATGAGTTTATAGTCTGATTTTATTGACTTGTCAATTATGAATACATTATAGCACTCATTTAAATATTCGATCCTACTTCGGTTTTGTCCGTTTATTTTACGAGAATTAATATGGAGTATATAGCTAACTTTTGGAATTTCCCACTAGCTTAATGTAGGTTCTCGTAACATCCACAATAGCAAAGTCGGTTAAGTGATTACCTTATGTATGAAGGGTCAGAGGTTCGATCCCTTCTTTTGACATTTTTTAGACGTCACTTATTTTTAGACTTATGTTTTCTTTATTTTTAAGTACATGTATATTATAATGAAAATGATCAAGCACTTTCAGAATTTTCTACACAGATATGAAACAACTAGGAAACACTGACTTGTCACGTTTTGTATTGTATTTTACGGCACTGAAATGACATTAATTGATCTTAATCCGAATGAATTTTGAATATTAATTCTTTAACAATGTTATATACAAAGAGAATTAACAAAAAAGTGCAAACCTATTAAAACAGAGAGAACAGACTTAAAAAATGTTGAAAATAGTTATAAATTAGAAAAAATATCTGAACATACGCTGTCTCGATCTTACAACACGTAGGACATTAAGAAATTATATACCCGTAGTTTACCCTATTGCGCTATAACGGTCAGTGTAAGTACTGCATAGAAACCAGATTTATTTAATCATATCTTACTGCTTAAATTTCACGGAATTAACCGAACATTTATCAAATATTAATATATTCTGTGCATTGACCGTATAATCAGTATGAAATTGACAGGTTAATAAAATCAAACAATAATATGGACAGACTGGTATAACTCTAATCATATTTCAAGTATATAGCGGTTAATTATTATGTGTATATGATGTAATAAACAGTTTTAAACATATTTATAGCCACATATTAAGGCAAATTTAAAACCAAAACAGTTTCTTTGTAATTATTCATCTGCAGTTGGGACTGGATTTGGGGGATGCAATTTTTCAACATTTAAGCTATATCTCTCTAGTGATATTTTATATAACATAATGTCATTGACTGTCTGTCTGTCTGCACGGTCATAGGGGAAAAGGTCACATAATGGGGTTAGGGGTTGTGTACAACTTAACATTATGACAAACATTCCTTGCAAAGTGTAGATCTGGGATTGAAAAAGTTGCATGTCATCTTATTCACAATACAGATATTCCTTTTGTACAATTGTAAAATTTTTAACTAAATTCTTGATTAGAATTTTAGGTGTATTAATATGTCATTTCTAAATTAAACGAAAAAAAATTAATAACTCAACCCCAGACAATTTGCTGCAACATTTGTGACATTTCGGGATAAATTGCAAAATATGCAAATACAGTAATTTTCTCTTCTCATGAATATTAATGAGGTAATATACCATTGATTGAAGCGATGTGACAATGTAGCTTGCCCTAGAGAAAATCATTTTTTTGTATGACTTGTTGAACACACATGTTGTAATATAAATTTATAATGTAATTCTCTTGAATTTTGGTATTTTGGTATCCAAAAGATTCCATCAACATATCACATCCAACAGTTATTGATTAAGACTCTTTTTAGCATACTCAGTGCCAAAAGACCAAAATAAAATATCCAATGATATCAATATTGATTTTATTCACCAGTTATTGCCTGGGGCAAATCTGTACTCTCACTATAAAGTGAAGTGTATTGCTATACAATGTATTCTGCTGGAATGGTCCAGCTGATAAGTTATATTGGCAATACAATTGGACCATCGATTATCTTTGACCTTGAACAAGTGGTCAGTTTTGGTTTTGTTCTCTGAATCAATATGGAACCTGACAAAAGATGATATAGTTTATGGATGCTTTTCTTACAATATGCATTATCTCTCCTTTTTTGGGTCAATGCAGGGACCATTAATTAGATAGTCAAAAATTTAGGGATTATGTTACAAATGTTTACAATCTTACAAAGGCACAGTATCCACAGTGTAATCTAGGTCAATAAATACAAGATCTAGGTTACCAAAATCATAAGATATAGACTAGAGATTTTGTTGGGAGTGTATCCTCAAAATGCATAGAAAGATTGAAGAATTACTTGAATAAAAGGTTCACCATCATGAGGTGAAGTGTTGCACAATTGAACCATATTTCTAGGTCAAAGGTCAGGGTCATACTTATGGGTCAGATGCAAATTCTTGTACATTATGAAACTTTTATAATACTGCATTGATAGATTATATAATATGATTTGGCACAAATAATCACTAATGTGATGTGTAGTGTTAAGTTCAAAATTCAGGTCAAGATCAAGGTCACATGCAGAGGAGAAAGGTCAGATAATAAAAAAGTTGAATTAAAAATGTTCGTATGGACTATTTAGTCATTATTAATTTAAACAATCATGTTCTTAAACATGTAAATGTTCACCATCATGAGACTGAGCTTTTGTGACTGGCATATTTTGTGACAATGGCACTTGTGTTGTTAAGGTCCTGGAGACATAAATTGTTCAAATCATAGCTATGAATTTCATATACTAGTATATTAAAATCCCCAGACTTTTAATTTGTCAGCATGTCAAAAGCTATAGAATTTAGATTGAACTTTACCATTGGTTTAATGCAAACATTGTACCAGTATATTTGTACTAGTACTCTGATTACCCAAGGGTTATATAAACCCAGTAATGAGTTGTGGATTCCAGCACCATGTGATTAGATGATTCCAATTCAGCATCATTGATGACTTCAATCAATAGAAGAGTTCAACTTTTATTGATCACCATTATATATATACACGTATTTTAACAACTTTAAGGCAATGTTAATTTGGAGACTGGTGCTAGATCTCAAAATTACCAGATCTTGGTCCATGAATGATGGTTGTAAAAAATGTACCAACCTTAAACTCGAATCTTGGTCCATGGTTATAAAGAATTTACTAACCAGGTCCATGGTTATAAAGAATTTACCAACCTCAAAGTCAGATCTTGGTCTATGATAATAAAGAATTTACCAACCTCAAAGTCAGGTCTTGGTCTATGGTTATAAAGAATTTACCAACCTCAAAGTCAGATCTTGGTCTATGATTATAAAGAATTTACCAACCTCAAAGTCAGATCTTGGTCTATGATTATAAAGAATTTACCAACCTCAAAGTCAGGTCTTGGTCTATGATTATAAAGAATTTACCAACCTCAAAGTCAGATCTTGGTCTATGGTTATAAAGAATTAACCAACCTCAAAGTCAGGTCTTGGTCTATGATTATAAAGAATTTACCAACCTCAAACTCAGATCTTGGTCTATGATTATAAAGAATTTACCAACCTCAAAGTCAGATCTTGGTCCATGATTATAAAGAATTTACCAACCTCAAACTCCAATCTTGGTCCATGGTTATAAAGAATTTACTAACCTCAAACTCCAATCTTGGTCCATGGTTATAAAGAATTTACCAACCTCAAACTCCAATCTTGGTCCATGGTTATAAAGAATTTACCAACCTCAAACTCCAATCTTGGTCCATGGTTATAAAGAATTTACCAACCTCAAACTCAGATCTTGGTCCATGGTTATAAAGAATTTACCAACCTCAAAGTCAGATCTTGGTCTATAATTATAAAGAATTTACCAACCTCAAAGTCAGATCTTTGCCCACGGGTATATAGGATTTACCAACCTCAAGCTCAGGTTTAAGGTATTTGATTGGATAGAAACAGGCACAGAATGTGCATTGGACAATTGAAAATTCTTAGCTCTCAGTCAGAGCTCAGGAAAAACAAATTGTATAATCTTGAGGCCAGTTCTTTATCTTTTATGAAAAATTTCTGAAGTTTGTCAAATCATGAAAATTTATGCCTTGCCCCTTAACATTTTCAAAAGTTTGTAAACCCTTGACAATCCCCAGTCCCACCCTCTTTTAAAAATATAGCAATATGGTTCATAACAAGAATGTATATATGTATTGATGTTGTTTTTTTAAGGTGGTGAGTCAGCCTGGCCAAGCTGGTGTTATTGTAACACAACCAAGACCTCCAGATTACATGATCCCATCAGTTCTGGCATGCTTGTGTTGTTTCTGTCCTACAGGTCTATGTGCAATCTATTATGCAAATCGGGTAAGTATTTGAAAAACAGTTTCATATTCATGTACTATAATGAACAATTGTAGTCTGTTCCCATAATTCTTTTCAATGAAAGATATATATTCACTTGATATTTTTTGAAGAATTTAGCAGTATGAATTTAAAAAGTGAAGAAAACATAGTGGTTATAATAAATATAAGTCTAAATCAAAATTCTAAAAAAAAATTGTACGTGAATTCTATTATTACTCTTCTCAAACAATGATGTTTCAAACAACAATATTCGGCAGTAGTTATAAGAAAAGGCATACTGAATCAGCCTTTATATATTGTTTATTAATGTCTTACTGTATCAGTACTTGAATATTATAGAGTGTACATATATAACGGTAATAACAAAACATTATGTTATTGATTCAAACCATGTATGATTGATGGATTAGACAAACATATAATACTGGGGGGAATTTAGAATGATGCCTCACTTGTCACCATGCTTATCTTTTCCTCCCATCAAACTCCTCAACATCTGTTTCTCACTTTTCCATCCAACACTCCATCACTGACTTAGGAGTTTTTGTGACCATTTGGTCAAGGTTGCCGACTTCAAACCACTTACCCCTTTTGGCTTTGGGTTTGAAAGCCATCAGGGACTTTGTATTCTTTAATAGCTAGCTTACAGAAAGTGGTAGTTCTACCTTAAGGTGCCCACTTGTACCTGAGGTCTTCCTCCACCTTAGAAGCTTGAAAGTTGCTATTTGACCTTAGCAGTGTTGGATGCTACTTAAAACTCTACCCTCATTCTTACACACTTAAAAATGATTATCTGTAGTCTACAATTGGCAACTAGATCTACACAAATAACCAGTGTCCAGACCAAGAGTTAAGATAGCACATTGTTGCTGTCTCATCATTGTCTGCACTGTCCACTATTCAGTCTATACTTATTTTTCCCCTAAAAATTATGAATGGATAGTTCCGGATTGAAAGATGGACAAGTCCATTTAAGATATTTAGTGTACTTTTACCTGCTTAATTGTACACAGTGTAAAGAAGCATCATAAAATAAATTGGTTAACTTCAGTATGACCATCATAAGATTATTTTACTATTAATTAGTTTCTTCCTAACATTTTAAAGGTTACTGTGTCATAATTCCATGTCAGTTTAAAAGTGTGCACATTAAACTTTGTTTGACCTTAGTTCATGTTACAGTAGAATATAGGCCAGTTAGATATTCTTTGTTTCTTGTCTGGGGCCTAATAATTTTCTGCTCCTTTAGTATAATTTTTGCCCCTTAATAATAAATTTTCATGCTCCTTTTATATTTTTGTCAGCTCATTAGGGATGATTTTCTTTATTACTTCTTCATGATCATTTTTTCTGTTCCTTTAAGAGTAATATTTACAGAGCTGTCATGCATACATGTGAACTCTCCCACTTTCAGCGGTAGACTCCCACTTTCTGCAGCCTTTTTTTCAAAGATTTTTCTTAAAATAAAGGGTATTTTCACAAATTAAAGAAATCTCCCTCTTTTTGATGTCTGAACTTTCCTCTTTGTTTATTGCAAATTTTAAATTTCCCTCTTTTGGAAGAAAAATCTCCCACTTGATCATCAAAAAAAGTTCACATTTATGGTCATGGATAGAGACCATTTTGATATATCAGAAATCATGTTGACATATCAGAAACCATGTCTATAGATATGAAACCCTGACTATATAAATATATCAGAAACTTTGTTGATATATCAGATACCATATCGGAAATCATGTTGATATATCTGAAACAATGTTGTTTTATCAGAAACTATGTTAATATATCAGAAACCCTGTTCATATTTCAGAAACCAGTGCAGTCTGATCAGGATACATGCTGTTCGCTATCAGTTTCTCTACTTGTAATAGAGTTGGTAAGCAAACAGCATGGATCCTGAACAGACTGCGCGGATGCCCAGGCTGGTCTGGATCCATGCTGGTCGCAAACGCACTATGTTGGTTTTGTCGTGACATGGCTGATTTATGTTTTTCAGGCAAACACTCTGGCAGCTGATGGGGACATGATTGAAGCTCAGAGGATGTCTAACAGTGCTAGAAATTTGATGATTACGAGCGTGGTGATTGGGGTGGCCTGGATCATTCTCGTTATTGTGTTGAGGCTCGTCGTTTTTGCGACAAGAACAACCACATATGGTTACGATTATTGATCAGATTGATGATAATAGATTCAGATATTTCAGCTTCTTTCGTTAGCTGACCAGAAACAATACATATTGCCTTTGTCTTAATACTTGATGTAGATAATCATTATTCAGCATTTTTTCTTCAGTGTGACAAGTTTGCTTTTAGCTTAAAATGATGTAATGTTAGCCATAGCAGCTGCTTTATATGATACATATGAGTCGTGTCATGACAAAACCAACATAATGGGTTTGCGACCAGCATGGATCCAGACCAGCCTGCGCATCCGCGCAGTCTGATCAGGATACAAGCTGTTCGCTATCAGTTTCTCTACTTATTATAGGGTTGGTAAGAGAACAGCATGGATCCTGATCAGACTGTGTGTAGCGCAGGCTGGTCTGGATCCATGCTGGTCGCAAACCCACTATGTTGATTTTGTTGTGACGCGGCTCATATTATGTTATTGTATTTTTATATATATAATAATATAAAGTAAAGTTTGAGAAGTCAAGTTTTTTATACTCCAATGCTTTCTTGACTAATTAATTTAAGTGCTTATTTTGTTAAGTTACACTTAAGTCTATAGACTGAGACCCTGTAACGAAGCACAGTACTGATTTATACATAAGTGCTTAGTTTGTTCTTTTTTTTTCTGTGGCAAATTTATATGTGAATGAATATTATGTAGTACAATTATTAACTTTATTTGATACAAAGTGATTCTATGTGCTAATTTTATACTTAAAGGGTAAGTTTTGGTGGTTTTATTACATGATAACTTAGTTTTAAGTACTAATTCTAAAAAAATTTTTTTGAAGAACCAGTTTTGTACATCAGTTGACTTAACATATTAGGGCTGCATCACGACAAAACCAACATAACGGGTTTGCGGCATTTGCGCAGTCTGATCAGGATCCATGCTGTTCACTATCAGTTTCTTTACTTGTTATAGGGTCTGTAAGCAAACAGCATGGATCCTGATCAGACTGCACCGCAGCGGCAGGCTGTTCTTGATCCATGCTGGTCGCAAACACATTATGTTGGTTTTGTCGCGATGCGGCTCATATGTTGATCATTTATTGAACTATTTTCAAAATCCATTTATAAATAGAGTTGCTCCTGAATAGAATGACTCTGAAACAAAGTTTTTTTTGGGGTTTTCCCAGCTATATCTGAGGATACACGAAACAGGTTTACTAATCCAAGGCAAACAGAAGTGCACCTTGAAGCTATAATGGTATACCCATTGTTTGTACATGGGTATTAGTTTGGAAAAAATAGACATTTGCTAAGTTCTGGATAACAACTGTTAAGAATATTTAGGAATTTCACAGCTAATCAGGGGTTACAAAAACAAATGAAAGTTACAATAATGGTTAATATATTGAAAATAAATGTAACATGTAGATCACAATATTGTGATCATTGTAGAGCAGAATTAGTGGAGCATTAACAGTCAAACTTATTTGTACCCTGGATTAGATTGGAAAAACCCACATTTACTGATTACATGATTTAACATGTATATTTATAAATGCATCCATGATTTAGATGTTTCTTTCAGCAACTCGATGTATGTACTTGTTTAAGCAGGGTTGTTTTAAAACATGAAGTAGCTTTTAGGTTTGATTTTAGTTAAACCACGATTGTTTTGAATCTCTCTTTTATTTTATACAAACACCATATTAGAATCAGTTTTGTTTTAAAAAATTGACTATATTTTTATTTTTTACATTTTTTTTTCTGCAATTGTCAATTTTTTATTTTCTGCACCATGTACACGTATTGGTCATGTCAATATTTTCTTCATAATTATATACAATGTTTATGTTTTTTTGTCATTTTCATACGCAGCTCTTTTATTTTATTACATTTTCTTTATAAATGTAGGTTTGTATCTGTTTGTTTTGTATAAATGTAATCTTGTATTTGCTATTTCATTAAAAGTTCTCCATTTCAGAAATTTACAATTTGTCAAGAAAATACATTAGTTCATGTTTAGTTTTGGTGAGCACTTAATATTTTCGACTTAGTCTATATGATATCATATTATACATTTGTAAAAAATAAATTTGTACAATTTGGCTTTTGAGACGTTTTTTTTTGTGATTTTGTTTGTCTTAATTCAAAAATTTGCCTTAATTCAAAACATTTTGATATTGTTCAGTTTCGACACAAAATTATGATGTTTAACCAGAATTTTAAAGCTCAATATTTTCATATGCTTTATATAAAAAATTTATTTTGTAGATATATCTTTTTCGAGAAATTCTGCCTTATATTTGATATAGATCAACTATATGTTATATTTATCATAATCTATTTCTTATTTCAGTGATACTTATTTACATGTAAAAAATCATTTACTTACTTAATGAAAGATCATTGGCAGAAGAAAATGACTGGCATACTGGCTAATGTTTTGATTATTTTGTTGGCTATTTTGTGTAACATTTTCAAAAAAAAAAAAGAAAGCACACACACAAATAATAAAAGTGACTTGAAGTTTTGATACAGTTCATCATTTTGCAAATAAGCAAACGTTTGTATTGCAACATGGAATTTTCATTGGTCACTAGTTTGTAATCTGACTAATTTACGTTACTTTTTCCCCGGATGACTCAGTTACTTTGTTACTGGTTAATAAAAATTTTGTATTCAATTCAAATACCTTTATTCACCTAGGTATCAATAAAATATGAAAGGGGTAACTACGACACATGAAAGTCATCAAATTAAAGGTGAACAAATTGATCACAAGGGAGACAACAAATATGCTAATTATAAGTCAATAAACGCACTGATGTCAGTCATTTAGCTTTTGCTATTGGGCATTTCAGGGGTCGTAGACATTATTGCTGTAAGCCGATAAAACATGCGCAACAAGGAACAGACAGCTTCATGTCCAACCCCTTAATATCCGTTACTTTCATAACATCTTGTTTCAAGATTACATAGATATTTTAACATTATCATTAATGCTTAGAGCAGTGGTCCAGAGTAAACGAAAAGTGTAGGCGAATATATAGCCTGGTGTCCGTAGATTACTAGCAGGAACTGGAGATTTTGCTGTCTTATAATTTATTTTATTGGTCTTAAAGACCATTAATTATTTTATCAGTCTAAGACCATTTCTATTTTTAAATAGAACCAAGATTTTTTTTCTCTTTTTTTTGCTGATAACCATGTTTTCTTTGCCATTAAGAGATTTTTTTTCACAGAATGACTAATATTTTTCTGAAATTTTTTATTTTTATTTTATTTTGAAGTTTTGTTTTGTTTTCCTGTACATTGTGTTATTGAACCTTCATATTATTTACAGTATTCTATAATAAGTGAGAAAAAAAAAGATGCATCTTACACTTTGTCGCAAAATATTGTTTTGTTGTCCGAAAATAGGGTAAAATGCAGAGTAACATAGTTGTGTGTATAGGTACAGATATATTGTACCATAAAATCTGATTTTTTTGCTAATTCTCAGTAAAAAAACCTGTAAAACACATATAAAAACATTTTATGTCTCAACTTAACTGAATTAAGACCAATTTTCACCTCAACGATGAAAAAAATTGATAAGACGAAATATATTCAAATGAAAAATAAAAGGATAACAGAAACAATAAAATGCCGTCTGCTATATAAGGTTGTGGGCAACAGGGGCATTGTTTGAAATATTTTATAGTTGTATTGTGTACTCCCAACGGTTGTGGTCGTTTATCCTGCAGAAACTACTTTAATTTAAAACTATTATTTAAATATGTATTGAATTTTACATGCCATGGCAGTAATTGCCTTACAGGTTTTGCGTACCCATTCTTTTGTGTTTTTTAAATTTTATTTGAATAAGATTTCTTTGCTAAGTTGTTTTATATAATTTCTGTTTTAGGTTGTTCCAAGATATTTGTTTTTGATAAGCTTTTACCTGAAATTGTATTAAAAGTGAATATATATAATTTTTTTTATTATTTTAAATCCTATGCCTTGATTATACATAATTTGAATATTGATAGTTTCCGATTTTTGCAATATTTACCTCCCTTGCCAAAATTGGCAGCCATTTTGACAAAAGTATGAACATATGAAGGAATATATTATTATAGCACCAATATGCTAAAAGATTTTATCAGTTTTCCTGAAGATGATTGAATTAGATTTTTGTCTTATCTTAAACATATGATTGGAAATGACCCTCATAATTGTGGTCAGGGGAGGTAATAATTGCTATGTGAAAAGCATTGGTTTAAATTTACTCCCTACCTCAAAGCATTTGTATGGCTATGATCCAATTATGTTAATAACTACTTTGATGAAAACTATCTTCTTTGTTTTTGTTATGTCAATACAATTTTTACTTTGACCTTTCAATTTGAGTTTTGGTCTTTCTATTGTTATTATAAGGGGTTTAAATTACAAATGGGAGTGAAGCAGCCAACAGTGTAGAATCTGGTTTGTATGTCTGAAGAGTTGCAAGTCTTATCTAGAGTCTGGTTGAATTGCAAGTCCAGAATCTGGTTGAAATTCAAGTCTAGAATTTGGTTGAATTGCAACTCTAGTCTAGAGTCTGGTTGAATTGCAACTCTAGAGTCTGGTCAGACTGCAAGTCTAGAGTCTGTTTTGATTACAAATCTTAACTCTGGTTGAATTGAAAATTTAGTTTAAAGTCTAGTTGAATTGTAAGTCTAGAGTCTGGTTGGATTACAAGTGTTAAGTCTGGTTGAATTGAAAGTCTAGTCTAAAATCTGATCAGATTGCAAGTCTAGAGTCTGGCTAAATTGCAAGTCTAGAGTCTGGTTGGATTACAAGTCTTAAGTCTTGTTGAATTGAAAGTCTAGTCTAGAGTCTGGTCAGGCTGCAAATCATGAGTCTGGTTCCACTGTATGTCTAGAATCTGTCCAGATTGTTAGTCTAGAGTCTGTTGGTATAAGCAGGTGATTATCTCTTGTAGCATTCAGAGAGTTGAGCATTTGAATGACATTCATTGATATATTGATTGATATATAGTACATACTTTCTCAACTTTCATAATATAGATGAAGTCTACTAAGTCTTGTTACATTGTAATTTCATCTGATATATTGTTGTTGTTATGTAGACTTTATATCCTAATAAATAATGAATTAATTTTATTTGTTACTTTTCTTTGACGTCAACATTGATTTGATCTAACATGATATCCAACTGATGCTGTTGTGTCTAATGAACATGTCCTGCTTTAATTAGCTCACCAGAACCGAAGGTTCAGGGTGAGCTATTAGTATCAAAGGGGGATGTTCCAGCGTTCGTCGTCCAATGTCATGCATCAACAATCACCTTCTTCTCTGAAACTGCTGGGCAGATTTACTTCAAATTTGGTCTCTAGCATCCTTGTGACAGTTGCACTTAAATTTGCTCATGTCATTTCAATTGGTCAACATATCTAAAAATAGAAAAAACCTTTAAGCATCTTCTTCTACTGAACTAAGTGATGGATGATCACCAAACTTTGTCTTGTAGCATTCTTAACTAGTCTTATATTAGAGCAGTGGAAATTTCAGGTCATAGTTGTTGTCACATATTTGATTGAAACACGTCCCTATAAATTTCAGGCGACTTATATTGCAAGTATTAAAAAGGTCTTGTCCCAAGGGTTGTTGTGGCCAAGTATGAAGACAATACACCAAGAAATAAAAAAGTTATGATCCAGGTACAAGTTTGCGGACGGCAACGGCAACGCCGCCGTGACTCATAATAGCAATACCTCTACTTTCTTTTTCAAAAAAAAAAAAGTCGAGCTAAAAATAGTATAAAAAGACTACAGTAAGAAAAGGAAAATTAAAAGCGCAAGTTGAAATGCTTTGCTTGCCAGATGTACGGTAACAATGAAGTTGGGCCATTTGTGAAAGGTTCCTTTTTTATTATGTAGAAAAAAACAACAACAACAATCAGTGTCACGAAACTATATAACCTTAGGGGCAAGTTGAAGTTGAGCTGGATTTGCCTTTTGGCAAGTTCACTTGAAAAAGTATTTCTAACACTGAAAAAAAGTTGTTTCTGGTGAGCAATTCAAGGCCATGATGTTGTCTTAAGTTCTTTCTTTGATATGATTAATATTAAAGATAAGCATGAATAAGAATATTGAGCTCTCCTGAGTAATAATTTAGCGGAAACTCGGCAGAGTCTGGTTACTGCTACAGTTACCCTCGAGCTAGATATTCTGGTCTGTACTGGAAGCTGGTGTAAGATCCTTATAGTGTTCAATTTCAACTAAGAGGGATGGGGGGTGCAAGTTTCACCTTTTATTTGTCCTCAAACATTGTCAGAGGTCAAAATGACGGAGGATATGTCCAGCTTGCAGTGCTAGGGATTAAAGCCATGATTTTACCATTTTAAAATTCAAGTACATGTATCAAAGTCAAGCCTAGGGGGATGGGGTTATTGCATTTAACTGGTGGATTAGTTCACTTCTATGTTGAATAAGGCCCCCACGATTACACGTTTAAACGGGTTCGTTTCGATTTTCATTCATAAACGTTTACGATATTGTTTACCGTTTAATCGAAATGACCATATTGTCTTACAAAATTTCTTAATCATTGCCTGTAAGGCCATGATGTTGTCAGAAGTTCTTTTTTTAATATAATTAATATTAAAGATATAAGCAAGAAAAAGAATATTGAGTTCTACAGTAATAATTTAGCGGAAACTCGGCAGAGCCTGGTTACTGCTACAGTTACCCTCGAGCTAGATATTCTGGTCTGTACTGGAAGCTGGTGTAAGATCCTTATAGTGTTCAATTTCAACTAAGGGGGATGGGGGTGCAAGTTTCACCTTTTATTTGTTCAAACATTGTCAGAGGTCAAAATGACGGAGGATATGTCCAGCTTGCAGTGCTAGGGATTAAAGCCATGATTTTACCATTTCAAAATTGAAGTACATGTATCATCAAAGTCCAGCATACGGGGGATGGGGTTATTGCATTTAACTGGTGGATTACTTCACTTCTATATACAGAAGTAGAACTACAATCAGCATTTGTGTTCAGTTTTTGTGACTTACAATGCTTGTAAAAGAACAACCGGACATTATGTTTTTCTAATAGTACAATATGGCTTGCATATAAATTAGAAATTATAACTGAGGACATTTGTATCTGATATAGTTTAGCACTCGGGGAATAGCTGTAGGATAACTATTTATAGATGATCCAATCTGAATAAATGAAATACCATATATTTTCTAATAATTGCCCCTTTCCTAATAAATGCCCCACTGCCTTTTTATGACTTCATAACCAACACAATTGCAGTTTGTTAGAAAATAAGGATATAAGCACAGAGGTATATATAATTCAGTGGAAAATACACACACAAAAACAGTAAACTTTCCTATTATTTCATTGACATTTTGACATTTTCTGTTTGTACATTAATTTACTCCGAATATGTTGTTCTAATCTGATCTAAATTAAGTGGGTTAAAAAAGAATCCATCTAACACATACAGAATGGGGTGGATCAATAAATGAAACACATATAATTATACGCTCCGAAATTGCTCATAGAGAGGCAACAGCAGTCTTTGCAGGTGCAACAGCAGTCTTTACAAGGGGCAACAGCTGTCTTCATAGGGGCAACAGCGTTCTTCAAAGGGGCAACAGCAGTCTTCAAAGGGGCAATGGCAGTCTTTAAAGGGGCAACAGCAGTCTTTAAAGGGGCAACAGCAGTCGTTATAAGGGGCAACAGCAAACTTCATAGGGGCAACAACAGTCTTTGAAGGGGTAACTGCAGTCTTCACAGGGGCAACGACAGTCTTCAAAGGGGCAACAGCAGTCGTCAAAGGGGCAATGGCAGTCTTTAAAGGGCAACAGCAGTCTTCATAGGGGCAACAGCAATCTTCAAAGGGGCAACAGCAGTCTCTAAAGGGGCAACAGCAGTCTTCATCTATCAATAAGCCTCCATGAGTTATCACCAGGGTAACCATGTAAGAAGAAAATAAAGTCAATATGAAGCATATCAAGCAAAACCAGCATTTATTTGGTGGTATCAACAACAAACTGTTTTGAACAATATAGTAAACAACATATAATCATTATTTTCACTTTTACCAACACCTGAAAAAACAATGTACCCTAACATAATTTCTGTATATCAATTTGATGAAAATAATACGTATTGTTAAAGATTTTTTAATAAACATCTAATTAGACAAATTTCAAGTATTAGACAAAGTTCAATGCAGCATTTTCTAAATTTCAAGAACATAATTTATATCAGTGCTGCAATACATGTACATATATACAATCAATTTAGATAATAAACAAAACAAAAATATGTATCAATCTATATTTTTGCAAGTTTTTACCCTAAAAAAACCTATAAATGGCTAGGCTATGTTTACTTCAAATTTAATTAGATTTACAAACTTAAGATTACAGATTATAGTTAACCCTTACCAAAATGGAAAACTGAGAGAGATTTTTAAAAACCGACATTGACTTAACAGTATCGAGCAAGGCCAGCTCTATACTGTCGACTGACTAGTTATAAATTGTTATCCTGATATCCCCAACATTTTTAATGGACCAGTTCCAAAAATGGAAACTGAGGGAAAGTCCATTTAAGAAATGTTGAAATTGTTATCATTTCAAAGCTTATATAATGACAACTTATACTTACAACAATAACATTATTACATGTAATATCAAATTAATTCATGAGTTAAAGTGGTAGTGTTCAGGTTTCAAACAATTTATTCATGGGACTTTTGGATTTACCATAGAGTCCAAAATTTATAATATTACATAATCTCCATGACATACAAAAAGAGAAAAAAAGACAGCAATTATTAAAATTCTAAAATTAAACAACAACTTTAGTCTGATTAAATAGAAGAATAGTACCCTATGGTATCCAGAATCCAGGGAGCTAAAATAACTTTTATCAAAATCACAACCAGTCTTCAAATGTTGAATAACTATCTAGTAAGGGAGACAACCAAAAATATGAAAAGGTATTCTTTGTGCAAGAGTTACTGAAAATGGACCAGCCAATGCTTGCAATATGACACACTGTTTGAAATGTAACTATATATTATGTTCAAAAAAGAAAAGAAATTGAAATGATGTACCCATGTGATTGAGAAATTTTTCAATGCCTTTATGATATAATTTATCACAAAATATTCAATAAGGGAGACAATTCATACATGACTAATGTATTCTTTGTGCAAGAGTTACTGATATTTCACCCCTGTTACCACATGTTCTTGCAGTGTATCAGAAAACAGTGCATTACTCAAAAACATAACTATATATATATTTAGCAAAAACTTTTTACAATATATAATGGTCCCATTTAATTTTTTAAACACTGAAATCTCAATACTAAGTTCTAAATGAGGTAGCGATACCTGACCTCATTAACCTTACATAAATGTTATAATTGACAGGACATTTAAGGCCAGTATATATGATCCAATTAAAGCCAAAATGTAAGATCTATGTTGATTCCAAACATGTTCAGTTAAATTGATTAATTTGTCAGAATGAAATAAATAGAATTTGTTATCTTAGTGCAGTAACAGATTAACTCCAATTGAAGGATCAATATAAGGAGTAAAATTGTTACTGCACTGAGGTGATAATGGCATATACATGTATATCGTATGAAGATACAATCATTTCGCCACAAGCAATTTTTTCAGCTGACCACATTTTGTACAACATAAAGACAGAAAGCTTATAATAAACAACAGAATATAAATTATTTCATACTGGTTCCAAGCTTATTATTACACGCAGAAAAAAAGACTATGGTCCCAATGCCTTTGAAAAGAAAGACTAGATTCAAGTCACATTACGAGTTTTTATATCTTTCCCATTGAACTGCGACATTATGTACATGATGTCATACTCATACACATACAAAACTGACTGAAGGCTGAGTATATAGTGGACAGATGTATAGATTGTTTAACAAATTGTTCCAATGAAGTTGATTAAAATCCGAGACAGAAAATTTCTTGTCTTCCGACCTTGCTGTGAATTTGTGTTGACTTGCACCAGCTGGTTCCTAAAGCCTTGATCAAATCTCAGCATTCTGGTACCTGGCTTTATTGTAGGTATTTGTAAACCTTTATACAGTGGTTCCCGGAGTCGGACACAACGACTGTTCCCTCTGGAGTAATGGCTAGTCCCTGTGGTCCATACAGGGGATCAGCTGAAGTGTTCACATAGCTCAGGAATGATCCATTACTATCAAAAACCTATAAAACAAAACAATGTATCCATATAAACAAACAAAAGTGATTTAAAAATCATGGGGGTATGTTAAAAAGTTGTTCATGTACTAAATTACATCCTGTTTAACTAATACTTTTTTTGGATATAAAGGAAACTAACTCTTGTTCATACAATATTTACGGCACACAAAAGTTATCTTTCCATTAATTGCCAAAATCAAGGTAATCATTATGCAACAATATAAATAATTTCTTTAGCAATTATTATGCTATTACAAAGACACAATATTCAATATCCTATTTAATTATTTTAAAGTATTAATTTGTACATTATTGAGATGACCCGGGGACTAGCATAAACTTTATTATGAAAGTTCAATCACCTAAGAATAGAGACATTGTTATGTTTACTTACTGATAAAGCATGAGCTTGGATGATAAATAATTTAAATGATAGGAGAAAATAGCCATGAACGAAATAGCTAATTATTAAAAGATGCTAATAGATAAGATAACATAATTAAGTACAGAAATAGAGGAATCCATATGAAGACTGCTGGCATAACCATATTTTTACATGGCAGCAATTTATCAGACAATAGCAATTATTACAGTAACCTCGTACAAAAATTAAACAGTTTTGTTCCCGGCTTAAATGATACAAAAAAACATGATTAGTAAAGTTACCTGTATTCTTGAATTTCCCCAGTCAGCAACTATAATATTTCCATACTCATCAACTGCGACACCTGTTGGTGCATTAAATTGTCCGTTACCTTCACCATTGGAGCCAAAACTGAACAGAAAGTTCCCTTCACAATCAAATACCTTTATACAATGATTGTGAAAATCAGACACTATTATGTCATTGCTTGCATTGACTGCTACATAATGTGGTCCCGCAAATTGATGATTTCCATTCCCACGTGATCCGAATTTTGACAAAAGTTTACCATTAGACTGGAATATAAATATACTACTACCCTTATTATCGACAACAATGATATGTCCGTTCCTATCTACAGCAATACCTTTCGGTCCTAGAAGTTTTCCTGTACCAATCTTATTCAGGTATTTACCGTCAGGGGCATATATGCTTATCCACTTATTGTCATAGTCGGCTACTAAAAAGTTTCCATTTAAGGTTGTAGCGACGCCTGTTGGTCGCTGCATTTTCCCGGCTACTCTACCAGGTGTTCCAAATTTTAGTTTACAATCACCAGAGAGCGTGAACACTTGAGCGACTTGATTATTACTGTCAGCAACCAATATTTTATTATCTATACAACAAACACCTTGCGGATTTGTAAACTCGCCTTTATTTCGACCTTTAACACCAACTCTCCATAACAGGTCATCTTCAATCAAATTGCTTTTTCTATGTGATCCTGACCTTGAACTAGATGGCCTTTTGGTCCCTTTTTGTTTGACTGCTGCAGTTCTGGGGATTTTAGAATGGCTACCTGCAGCTTCATGATGATCTTCAGCCCCAACATTAACGGCCTTGACCTTGAATGGTGACCCTTTTATATGTTTACCAAATATTTTGATAAACATCATGTAGTTATCTTCCCTAGGTAATAAATAGACAAGTTCATAAGTACCATTCTGTTGGTCTGTTATTGCTGGAATAATTCTATCACCATTTGTAGCTTGAAGCTCAGAGTCTATGAGTGCTTGACCTACTTTTACAAGGTCGCCTTGGCAATCTTTGGTTGTTATGGTGATCACAGCAGGTTTATTTACATACGCATGTCTTAGACCTTCACCAGTTGCTGTAGTATTATAACCTATGGCACTATTATTTTTAATATATCCTAAGGTACCTAGGGATTTCTTCAAACCTTGGCAGTGAGCAGTATCGAAACCAACAAAGTCATTTTCTTCTGGTTCCCTTCTAATCATACCAGATGCGAACTCTTGAAGTTTACCGGACATTTCCTTCTGTACGAGCAATACTTCAGTATCGCTACCATTTTCTAAAGTCTCTTCAGTAAATTCACAACAATGATTTATTTTGGTTATAACACTGTCTAAATTTTCTTTTTGGTTCATCAAAACTTCATGTTTCTTGTTATATATTGTGTTTAAATCTTTTAAAAGCGCATCTTTTCTTTCATTCATTAGTCTGACAAGATCGTCAAAAGTTTCAACAATTTTACTTTCAGCAACTTCAGTCTGACTAGTTAAAGACTGAGACACTTCGGAAATGTTATTTATAGCCTCCTGTATAAGTGGAATTTGATCCTTGGCACCAGTGATCAGATTTGCTAACGTGGATTTATGTTCTTCTATAGCCTCTTGTAGCGATATGACATTATGTCCAATATGCTCCACCGTAGTACAGTCTTTACAAACACCCGTTTCACAGGCTGTGCAGTAGAACTGAAATTCATAAAGAAAATATTATACAAATATGGACTTTTTAGCTGTTGAATATGATGTGATATGTACTGAAAAAATTAATATTGACCGAGGCGATAGCCGAGGTCAATATTAATTTTTCAGTACATATCACATCATATTCAACAGCTAAAAAGTACATATCTGTTTTATTATATAATTTATAAATAGCTTTTATATGGCTTATCACATCTGCCATTGCATACAACGGAAATCATTATTTTTCAGCTTGCCTACTGTTTCCATAATTTGGCCCTTTCCATTGGCATGCTAATCCCTATTGTTCTTAAAAATGTAAAACGGTAACAAAAATAGACTAATTTGACTCTTATGTACACCCCACTCAACGTTTTTAGTATAAAATATAGAATAATAACAACAAACTTGGCGTGATGTCACGTCATAGTCTCGCGTCTTTTAGGGATTTCCAGAAAATCTATTTTTAGAAGAAAAACCGGTGAATATACTCTGAAAATCTATTTTTAGGAAAAAAACAGTGAATATACTCTGATATTGACCTGTTATTTTTTGCAAAAAGTTGCTTGTTAGCCAATCAGGGAAAGGCATTTCAAAGCTATTTATAGATTATATAATAAATAAAATTATTCAAGCTGATTTATCTCCTATGTCATTATATCTGCCAGCATTTTATTAACCCTTTCACTGCCTGAGGGTTATTAATTTATTAATCACCTATTTGCCAGAGGGTTTTCTAAGAAATTACTATATTATTAATATAATTATTATTATTTGTTATTAGTATTATAATAATTATATATGTTTCCAAATCTGCTAGTATAATAATAATCATTGTCAATGGTATAATTATCTATATATTTATTATTATTATTATTATTATTATTATTAAAGAAACGGCAAAAGCCGTCCATATGGCAAATACGCTGAAAATAATAGAGACGGCATATGCCGTCCTTATGGCAGTGAAAGGGTTAACCTTTACCTGCTAGAAACAAAAATTGATAAATTTATCGATTTTTCAAATTTGTATTGATTATTGATCAACAGAAAAAAAAATTGACGATGCATCAATAATGAATTGACAGGTATGTATCGATCATATCTATCGATGACAGCTCTTATGTTTGTAAAGTAACAATATAAATTAGTAAAACAGTAGTTCTAATCTATATGGACAAGATTATAGTGTCTTTTTTTTCAACTGATAGAAAATGGTAAAGATTAGAGACTTACAAATGAACATAATTTTATAATACAATATGATGAATATAATTATATGAACCGCGTCACAACAAAACCAACATAATGGGTTTGCGACCAGCATGGATCCAGACCAGTCTGTGCATCCATGCTGTTCGCTATCAGTTTTTCTACTTGTTATAGAGTTGTAAGCGAATAGCATGGATCCTGATCAGACTGCGCGGATGCGCAGGATGGTCTGGATCCATGCTGGTCGCAAACCCATTATGATGCTTTTGTCATGACGCGGCTCATAATTATACTTTTACAAAAAGCTGAAGTTGCAGGCATATTAAAAACAAATTATATCTATATAAAGCTACACTTATAAATTTCAAAAGGCAAGTAATCTATAAATTTATCAAATGATTTCAGGCAGAAAATTATATAATATGCATTCCTAGGTAATGATTATAAACTTTTTCAAGCCTATCAAACAAATCATGTAATCTTTACTTAAAGAAGAATGTAAACATAATTAAATTCAAATCAGTTTTTTTTTTGTCATTGAAAAAATAATTTCAATAATCTCTTATTGGCATACATTTTATAAAATAAGATATAATTAATATCTTCATAAAGAGAACATATTAAATCAAATAAACATAATATTTTTTAAAAGCTGCATGCATCCAGATGAGCCAAAACATTTCAAGAAAATCAACTTTGGGACAAATGTACTAAAAGTTTTAGAAGGTTAAAAAATATTCACAGTTACTGAAGTAATGATTTACATATTATATGCAATGAATGACTGATTTAGCAGTATTTATAACCATATTCCTACTGGGTGTCTTATGCAATAAGGGCTATTTTTGCATATTTTAACCTTTGTTTGTTAATTTACTTAAATAGAACAAGCCATTTGTAATGTGTAAAATTAATTACTTTCCTTGTTCACTTAACAATATTCTATTTTTCAATAAAATTTCAAAATTTCTATGACAAATAGAATGAATCTGAAAGAGTGCTGCTTTACTGGTAAATATAAATCTTTTTTTAACGAAGAAAATACTTGAGCGCCCAAACCTCACCTGCAGGGAATTTCCATGATGGTTGGGACAGACGAGAGTTGACTCTTCACTTTCGGAGGACAAGGAGCATGTAGGAATACTGACTAGTTCATGAGAACTAAGATTATCATCATCTCGGTGTTGTTGCTCGCACGACTCGCATAAACTTTTGTCACATGTTTCGCATCTGATGCACAGTCTGCCACTCTCCGTACCACAAACACCACAAGTCTCCGTACCTTAAATATACATCATGCTCATATAAAACAAAAGATAAAAAAAAATCTGAAAAAGTCTGGAACTAATCCTAGACGTGATAACGGCAGGATACAGTCAGTATGGCATGAATGAATATCCATATGACAGGCATCACTATAATTAGGAGGTCGAAAATTAGATAACACTCGTCATTAACAAAGATTTAACTCTCACTCTATCTCAAAACTTGTTTGATTGGTTGATTTATGTTACTATTTTTAGATTGACCAATTAAATGTTAAGTTTCCAAATACAAATTAGTGCCAATTATTCAAGTTTGAAATGAATTTGCTAAGAGAATAAAGGTCTATCAAGGAATATGTAAGGAATAAAAATTAATTATAATTTTCATTTCAAAAATGTTTGGAAGGATAATTATGATTGGACATGTAGATAAAAGACAATGTGTATATTCTATATCTTATTCAAATCAAGTTGTTGGAATACCCTAATAACTTTAAGCAACATTGATTTGTCTTGTATCATAAGTAAATAAAATGATTAAAATGATTTTCATGCTGTGATGACAGAAATAAATTATGCAAATTGTGAATCATTAATATAATATTCTAACACTATCGGAATTTTTGCTATATAGACAAAGAAGGCCGGAAGCGTGCATTATTCTACAACAATGCACTCGCCGTTCTTATTATCTCCCTGTGTATTTTCACATTGAGGGCGCCATTTTGTTTAAAAAATCTGATAAATAAAAACAATTTTTTGTCGAATTTTGTTGTGAAAACTATCTAGAATGAAAGAAAATGGTCTAACTAAGAAAATGAATCCGAACACCAATATCTTTAATTCAGTCGTTAACGCTGTACAGATGTTTAAAGTGTTGTTTACGTGACGTCACAATGTAGCGCCAAACAGCACGTGCAACACAATCAGATCAGGTACGCTATTTTAATGTCGCAAACGAGTTAAGTTTTACATTTACTTCACTTTTAATAACTTTTATTTCACTTGAAAAATTATAGAGTGAAATAAAATAAACAAACAAAGTTTTATCAACGTTTTCAAAATGCGTTATTCTCAGAATGTTTCTAAGCACGGAAGATTTAACGACAGTTTTTTTTTCAACCAACTGGGACAGCCTTTAAAGAACGTTTCTATGGGAAACTCTGAGGCGAAAACAAATTAAACCACCAAACATAGAGTCCAACTTTAAAATAATAATTATATTTTTTCTTGACGTGTTAGAATGGAAATATATATTAATTCTTCGTGCATCATTGTATAATAATGCACGTTTTTCGTTCAAATGCTTTGTAATTAATCACTCAGGCCTATCGGCCTTCGTGATTTATAATATTACTACGCATTTGAACTCAAACCGTGCATTATTCTACAACAATGCACTCAGAATTGATATCTATTTCCTAAACAATATGATATGAATGAATGAAAAATGTTCGTGCACCACGTAAAATTATCTGAAATAATGATAGCAAAGCTTTCATTTATAGCATAATTGGAACTTAACCTGACAATTTATGGTAAGCTTTGAATGCTACTGGTAACAATAACTTGCCTAACCCCCTTTCCATGCAGGGAAAACTTAAGTTTAAAAAAAGCCATTTCGAAACCCTTATAAAGCAAGGCCAACCTTTCACCCCCCATGCAGGTTCTGACCCCTGCTTTTTTCTTTGGCTGACTTTTAAAAATTTTTTAAAATTTTTAACTTTTTAATTTTCCCCCAAATGATAATGGGCAGTTTCCCAAAAAAGGAAGGGGAAAAAAATTTCCCTTTAAATAATTTTTCCCTGGGGAAGGGGAAAATTTCATTTCCAAAAAGGGAGAAAAATTTTTTGTTTCCAGGTCTGTTTCAAAACTAAAACCTTTTAAACCCTTAAAAATTAAAAATTTTAAAAAAAAAATATCAGCATTTTAAAATTTTTAAACCACTTTTTTTCTGAAAAAATTTAGACAGTGCCTAGAAATTTTTTAAAAAGACTAGGGGTTTTCCCGAAAAAAACCAAAATTTTAAAAAATGCTTTTAAGGGGGGGGAACCAAAGGGAAAGAGAGGGTGTGCGGAAAAAATTTTTTTTTAAAAATTTTTTTGCACAACCCTTTAAAGATTACGCCAAAAAACCTTTTCCCAAAAGGTCCCTTTGGGTTAGACTGGGAGAAAAACCCCCTTTGGATGTTCCCCCAGTAAAAAAGTATTAAAAAATCCCCCTTTTTACCCTTTAAAAAAAGAGGTTTTAAAAAAATTTTAAAGCCTTTAAAATTTTTCTTTTATCAAAAATAATTTTACATATGTTTTAAAAATAAAAAAATTGGGAAAAAAGGAAAACAGAAATTTATATACATTGGGGAAAATGAATGAATATTGGGTTTTCTAGGGTTTTTCCCTTAATTTGCCTGCCCCGAAAAAAGGGCATTTACAGGACCCAAAAAAGTGTACTTTAAACATTTTTTTAAAATTTTTTTTCGAGTTCTATTTCAAATTGCATTATTAAAAACTATAACTGCACCATATTATACAATATTAATAGCGATGAAAAAGAACAATTTTTCAAGGTTTGTTTATTTAATGTAAACTGATGTTTCTACTAACTCTCAATGCCATCTAAAAGTAACCCAAAAATATATGTTTACGACTGATAATCAAGCCAATCTTAAATCATGCCTTCACAAAGTTTAATAAACTAAAAATTATTAATAGCCATAAAAATTAAATCTGTTAACACAAAAAGATTTAAAATATATACCCCAAAAAAGCAGAATTGATAAAGGATGATATGTGTTTGAACATTCTTATTAAAAAAGTCACACCAGCCAAAGCAGAATCAAATGAGCTGCTGCAAATACTCCTATTGCCCTAAATTTTCTCCTGACTTAAATCAGCAAGATCAGACAAACTGTTCAAAAATGCGGACATAATTAACTTCCCTTGTACTAAAGAAGTTTTAAGAGTTTTAACTGCCCTTGGCCAAAAAAAAAAATGAAATTATTTCCCCTTTACTTTTACTTTTCAAAAACATTTCCATTGGAGGACTGGTAATAAAAGGATGTTAGCTTTGTAGGGCACTACACCATCAGATTGGGAAGATTGGGACTGCGACAGAACAAACAGACAAGTGGACCGATAAAACTCTCTGCGGGGGATATATTTCGTCAAGCCACTGTTCTTTCACAGAAGGAAATGGAGACAAGGGGAAAACTTTAGGGAGTTATAAGCTTCTGTGGACAAACTCCCCCCAAATTCTCAACAGTT